CGGCCCCGCCCCGCGCGCCGCGGCCCCGCCCCTTCCGCCCGGAGCCCGGTGCACGCTGGGACTTGGAGTCCGCTCCGCGCCCCGCCCTGCTTGGCTCAGCGCGTCTCTCACGTCTGTCAGCACCTTAACCCGCTCTGAAGCTGAGGCGTAGCGCCCTGGTTTCCACCTGGAGAAAGACACGTGTTGTTTGACCAGCGAGAGCCCACTTTTCCAGAGTCTGGATCCACGGGGTGTGCGCTGCCAGTTTGGAGCCCAAAACAAGCGTGTCCTGTGCAAGGCCCCACGCTGCGTCCACCCAAAGAGTTCCCACAGGATAAAAATAATCCACGGAAATGGGTTGGCCTGAAATTTTAAGATGTGTTATTGCTGTTTCTGCACAAATTTATGAACTCAATATGAATAATAACAGTGGAGCCATATCTCTCTCTCTCTATATATATATATCTATTCATCACTTTTAAACCAGTCTATGTGCGCCAAACTTCTGTTCTGTTACAGGTATAGACCAGTCTCCCATCACTTATACTAGTAGAAGAGTAATATCTGTACCTGGCCTAAGAGGAGTCTGTAAGCAAATGCAGGGTGCAGTTAGGCCTCGCCAGAGGGCAGACAGAGCCAAGTTGGCTGGTTATGCCTGCAGCAAACACCAGCTACTAACTTGTCAAGGTATTAAAGTTATTTAGACAGCACAGGACATATTGTTTTGTGTCTAGCTGTTAGGCAAGAAAGGATCCCAGGGTGCATTCTCTTTATGATTTTTGTTGGTGCAATCATACATAACCCTCCTAGAGCAGGTCCCAGCAGACTTTTTACTCTGTTTAATGATTGCTGAGCATTAAGATTGCTTGCAGACATTAAAAACAAAAAACAAACAAACAAAAAAACGCTCTTTACCAGAAGCAGTAGCATATGAGCATCTGTAAAGATTGGGCACTTCAGCAGGGCTTTTTGAACCTTAAACCTGATTCAATCAGCTACTAGATAAAAGTGCCAAAAAAGCCCCACTGAAGTGCCTGATCTTTACAGACATTCGGTGAGCCAGGTTTAAATAGCACACTGCCTCTTCTGGGCATGTGTGAGACTCGGTTCAAGAATGGGCCAAGTTTAAAGTGCCATATTTGGGGGGGGTTACATTTGCAAGCACCCTAAGTATACAACACATGAGATATATGTTATCATTCGTGGGTGCATTAAGGAACTAAAAATCATAGTAGAGTGATGGTTTTTGTTGTATAACCAGTCTATGGCAAAGCTCCATGTTCCCAGTCCTTTAAACACTGGTGCTTTAAAACACAAGACCACAATATTTTTCATAGGCATCAAGTAAACATTTCACAAGTAGGATTCTTTATTCAGAAGGTTTAAACCTCACAACATTTGGAAACCACAAGTACAGGCTTTCTAAAGAGTCTAAGCCTTGTGGTCAGATATCACAGTTTGCCAAGGGTCCCAATGAGCTAGTCCCAAAAACTATGACATCTACCAGTATCTTAGTCATTGCTAAAGTACCTTTCACTGTGGCATAGGTAGGCAAGCTTCTTTGGGTAGATGTGATATCTTTTATTAGACGGACTGAGTAGTTGGAAAAAAAGTTTGTTGCAAGCTTTCAGGCACAAGCATCCTTCTTCAGGCATAGGGAGTCTCTGCTGTTCTGAGATCCCTAAGGAATGAAAGAAGATAAAGTATGACAGGATGTCAGTGAGAATGTAAATAGGTGGAAATTAGGAAAACAAGGGGGAGGGGAGGGGAGGGTTGGGGGGAACGAGGGAGAAATAATGCCAAAGGTAACTAAGGGAGACTCTAGTGTGGTTGAGTTCTTCAAGGTAGAAAAGAGGCAGTCTGTGAAAAAGTAAATAGCTGGAAATTAGGATAGAAAGGGTAGAAAAGGAGGGGAGAGGAGGAAGCGGGGGAAAGGCAAGTGTAAATGGTAAGGTCAGGCAGGCACCTGGTGAATCAGATGTCAGGCAGGTTGTAATGTGTCATAAATCCAATGTTTTTATTGAGTCCATGATTTTTTGTATCCAGTAGATTTATGAAGTGAAGTTCGTAGGCTCGTCTACGAAAGGTGTTCTGTAAGTTCCCTTTGAGGATTAGAACTGAGAGATCGGAGGGGGAGTGATTGTCTTGTGAGAAGTGGGCACCCACAGGTAATTGGATATTTTTGTCTTTGGTGGATTTTCAGTGTGCATTCATTCTTGTGCACAGTTGTTGTTTGGTTTCTCCTACATATTTTCCATCAGGGCATTTGGTGCACTGAATGAAATATATTACATTTCTGGAGGTGCGGGTGTAAGATCCAGGAATGGTGATGATTCAGTTGTGGGGTGTGGCTATTGTGGCAGTGGTGGAGATGTGTTACAGGTTTTGCCCTGGCATGGTCTGTATCCGTGAGATGTGGTTTGGGTCATAGGGAGTTTGCTTCTGGTGATAAGGTTAGCAAGGTTTGGTGCTTGTGTAAAGGCTAGGATGGGTGGTTCTGGAAAGAGCTCTTTAAGAACTGGGGCTTTTTCTAGTATGGGTTGCAATTGTTTGAGGATTTTCCTTATAGGTTCCAGGGAAGGGTGATATGTCATAACTAATGGGGTGTGATTCGTGGGGGGGTTTCTTTTTGTACTGCAGCAAATCTTTGCCTGGTATCCAGGTAGCTCTTTCAAAAGTACAATCTCTCTCTCTTGAGAAGTGTCCTTGTTGGGTGAAAACCCTTTTGAGATTTGTGAGGTGACGATCACAGGTATTCACCTAGGTGCAAATTCAGTGCTATCAGAGCGCTTG